GGGGGCGCGCCGGCCTTGGCGTGCCTGCCAGCACTTGATTATCGATGAGATCTCCCTGGTGGACGGCCAGTTCTTCGACAGACTGGAGGCAGTGGCAAGGTGGGTGTCAGGAGAAACAACTTGCAGAAATGAGTTTCCCGAATTTCCAGGCTGCTTCCTTCCTCTGGTTGTGTGAATGGATGCACAGCAATCACTGGCGTAGGACTGGAAGGAAGCGTACAATCACGGCCAGCATCTGGGCAGACCTTTGTGGTGAGACGGGTTCTGATCGTGTCCCTGCTCCCCAGCTGTGGCTGTTCTGGCTGCAGCTCCCATCTCCGGAGCCAAGCGTTGTCTGTGGAGCTGGGTCGAGAATGCAGCCACCTGTGCTGTGCCCAGCAGCTCTCTCTTGCAGAGAGAAGCAGTTGTAGTGTAGCAGCTACCAAAGAACCAAGACTGGTAATGACATCTGGGGTGGGTGAGCAAAGCAAACTTGAAGTCAGTCTTGTGATGACATTGCTTAACTGTTTGAGCTGACATGGCTAAGGATAATCATCTTTTACTGCAGGTGGTGTATGCTTGAATGTACTGGCAGACTAAGAAATAACTCCTGAGACCTGCCTGTGTCCAGGTCCTGGAGGGTATTCAAAGCTTCTCCTCTCTTCCCTCCCATTCAGGGCAGTCAGAAAACGGGATGAGCCTTTTGGAGGAATTCAGCTAATCATCTGTGGCGACTTCTTGCAGCTACCCCCAGTCTGCAAGGCTAATGAAGAAACCAAGTTCTGCTTCCAGGTACAAAACTGTCCCTAAACTCCTTGTTGTACTTCAAGTTTGCCTCTTTCTTAACAAGAGAAAGATTTTCCAGGCAAAAAGCTGGAGGAAATGCATCCACATAAACATGGAGCTGACGGAAGTGCGGAGACAGACCGACAAGACCTTTGTCTCGCTCCTGAGTGCAGTCCGTTTAGGCAGGTGAGGAGAAATTCATCTCTCTCTGTAATCCCTGCTCTCTGCTGATGGAGGAGAGGAAGAGCAGTTTGTCACTTCCCTGTGCTCTATCAGGAATGCGTGGCTGGGGGCAATAGTTGTAAACGCTTTAGTTAATATAAGCAGTTTTCATACATGCTGCTCTGGCAAGGAAAGACCCTTTCGCGGGTCCCTCGTTGCGATTTCTGCTAAGGATTTCAATGGATCCCGTGCTGGCAGTGGACAGGGCAGGGCTGGGGCACACACTTGCACTGCTCTCCAACATTTTGTGGTCCTCTCTGGAGGCCTGGGGCTTGCACAGTCTGATCCAGCTGTGTGGAGGTTACTGCTGCACTAGACCTATGCCCGATCACTTTAAATAATAATCCCCTTTTCCTGGTTACCAGGTGCACAGAGGAGGTTACCAGGCTGCTGATGCAGACTGCTGCTAACAGGTCTGAGCGTGATGGGATCCTGGCTACACGGCTCTGCACCCATAAAGATGATGTAGAAGTAACTAATGAGAGACGCTTGCAACAGCTATCAGGTGAACTCCTTGGAGGAAGCTGCTGGCTTTGGCACTGAGCTCTGAGTGGATGCAATGGGCATACAATAGTGTTGCGAGGAACCGGGGTTCTGTCACGCACAGCAGCCCCAGTCCAAGCTCTGTGTGTTGGAGTTGAGCTGCTTGGGGAAAAACTTCAGTTTTTTGCTTAAAAATCCACACTGTCACTCCTTGGTGTGTAACAGACAGCAAGCTCATTGCTTGCTATGAGGTAGGATGAGTCTTTATTCCCTCCCCTGCTTTTTCTTTTTATAGCATCTCAGAAAGACTGTGCTCTATCTAGCCACAACTTGAATTAAGGGTTATTTAATTTCTAACCCCTGTCTGGCCCAAGGATTCTTTCTTAGTCCTTTTTGTGTTGGCAGGAGGTGAAATTGGTCATATGCTCAAAATGGTGACGGCTCAGTTCCTATTTACTGCTGACCTTTGATTCCTGAGCCTTCTTGTGCTCTGGGAGTTATGTTGGCAAGAGAGGCAATAGTGACCTTTCTGCTGTTAGATGTGACACGGTTTGTCTGAAAATGCCCCACCGCTGAATGGATATTAAAAGAGGAACTGCTGTTAGAAATAAATGCCGAGCCCCCTGCAATGCTGTGTGGAATATGTTCAATGGTTGCAGTTCGTCACATCTTTCTTTCCTTAACAGGAGAAGTGCATGCTTTTGAGGCTTTGGACAGTGACCCAATGCTAGTGAAGTTAATTGATGCTCAGTGTCCTGTGGGTGGTAGAGTTGAGCTGAAGCTTGGAGCTCAGGTGAGTGTACATACATACACTTGTGAAAGACCAGCAGACCACATGGCATATGAAAAATAAAGGAATAGCAGATAAATATATAGACTAGATAAGTGTATAGAATGCAGGTTCTGTACAGAACAGCTGTGCCAGGCCAACAGAAGACTCTGTCTCAATCTTTGTATCCTTTCTGTTTGGAACCTTATCCAGATAGAGAATTAGTTTGATTTGAGTGCAGATCTGTGTCTCATGGACAGTGGTGACTGTTATGACTTGGACACATGTTTCCAATCAGGTTTAGAAGTTTCCAGGTAGTAGAGAGCACAGGCAGTCCTTGCCTGCAGTCTCAGCTCCAGGTACAGCAGCCCTCCTGAGCTGTAAGGGTACAGCACAGCTTGCCAGATTTGCAGGGCTGAGCACCTAGCTGTGAGCTAGGGCTGTCAGAGTGGAAAGGATGCAAGATTGTGCTCAGCAGCAGCACTGTGTGCCTTGGGAAGTTGTTCCTTAGGTGTTCCCAGAATCTGTAGATGTCTAGCCTGGTTTGTGTTTGGTGAAGGGCAAACTTCCCTGGATCTGAGTTCACAAGCTGTGGACAGAAGCAGCTCAAGTGAAGCTTTCGGGTCTGCAGAATGATGTAGCTGGGAATCCTAGGAAGGAAGGGCTGTGAAATAATTTCACTCAGATTGGAGACAGTGCTCTATCCTGCAATAGGGTGATGTGGCTGTGGCCAGATCAGCCTGCTGTGCTTATGCTTCCTGGCTAGCAGCTTAGCTGCAGGTGGCTGAACAGGCTGTAAAGCCAGTGCACTAGGGGATTTTTCTTTTTCTCTGTAGGTGATGCTAGCTAAGAATCTGGATGTGTCTCAAGGGCTGGTGAATGGGGCACGAGGAGTTGTTGTAGGATTTGAAAGTGAACAGAAAGGTAAGCAAGCTTTTTTGATTTTTTTTTTTTTTTTTTTTTTTTTTTTTTTTTTTTTTGTTGTTGTTGAAGGAAGAGGAAAAAACCCAACAATTTATCACTGGTGGCTGGTGACTTATTAATTTTGTTTACTGCTTGGTAAGAATAATTTGAGGGAAAGCAGGGAGGAGGTCTTCTCTGGAGTGAGAGACTTGGGGCTTTCAGGAGCTGTGATGTCATGCGCTGCATCAGCTGTAGCTATCTGTAGGGCCTCTTGTGTTTGCTTTTCTTTATTCTCTAGATGTGTGTGCTTATTTACATTTCTTGTCTGTTCTGTTGAAGCAAGTCTTGGTGGGGTGTTTTTTGTTTGTTTTTCTTGGACGATAATGTTCTGCTACCTGCAATGTGTATTTTTGTCTCTGCATCTGAACTGACAAATAACCTGACTGTAATTCTCCTGCTTAAGTAGGTCTCAAACATAATTTCAGGGCATCCTCTTTACTGTGTGTGGGTTTAGGGTTTTTTTTTTTTTTTGGTGTGAGATTTTCTTTTTTTTAATGCAGCCCTAAAATTCATGAAAGACTGACATGGGGAAGCAGAAGAAAAAAAGTGTTCTTAGTGCTGGTTTCCTGCTGTCTGAGTGTCAGGAATACATCCCTTTTTCTCTCCTGCTCCCATTCCTACAGGGCTGCCTAAGGTGAGGTTTCTTTGCGGGATCACACAGGTCATCAAAATGGAGAAATGGGTCTTCAAAGGAGCATCAGGAGTTCACCTGAGTCGTCAGCAGTTGCCTTTAAAATTGGCATGGGCCATTTCCATTCACAAAAGTCAGGTGGGTGTTCTTATACAGCTGTCTATAGACTTTTACACCATCATAAGCGTTATTTCCTGGGTGAGCTTGCATTGCTGCTAAAACAGGGGAGAACTGAAAGGCGCTAGTTGTGGGGGATCTCTATAATATGTGTGTCTAGCTGCAGAGAAGGCAGTACCTCTTCTGCTTGTGGTGCTTGTCTATAGGGTCAAGGGTGGGCCCTCAAGGATGGGATGGGATGAGTTTCCATAAGGGTGCTGCCACCTGCGTAGTTGGTGTTAGCCTATAAAGCAGCATTATTTACTGCTGTTGGCTGATCGGGGTATTGTTTCTATGCTAGTCATCAGCATTAGTGACACTGAGATTTGTGGTGCACCTGAGGAGTCACAGCTGTGTTCTTTGGGCTGGACTCCCCCTTTGGTGGTGTGTGTTGGGTTTTTTCAATGTAACTAATACAGTTCCTATCTTTCCATGCGCTTTGATAAAAACTTGTCTTACTGTTAGACCTGTGAGCTTGTTCCAATGCTACTGCTTAAACCAGGCCATGTTGCAAATTTTGCTGCCTCCTGGGATGTCTCATGATGCAGACAGGGCTGGCCAGGCCTAATCCAGATTCTGTCTCAGATGGTCTGCCTGAGGACTGCTGGAGACTGGTGGCGGCTCCAGTTAATTACTAGGAGTGAAAACAGCAGGATTTCTTTCCCTGCTGTGTTGATTATATGGGATTTGTGCAGTTTCACACAGCAAGAGGCTCGCTGGAGTTAGTTAGTGGACCCTCCTGTCTGCTAGCAATTTCCTGGCAGTGGAAAACTGTCCTTTTTTTCTACTGATTCCCATCTTTTAATCAGTTACACTGCCAAACAAGAGACTTCCTTTTTTTATCGAGCCCGTACACTGAGGATGGTACCTTTGACAGACTCACAGGACAGGTTAGGGTTGATACAGCACAGCGTTCTTTTTCGTTTCTTTGTTCTGTAACAAACTTCTCTGTTTTTGATAGGGCATGTCTTTAGATTGTGTGGAAATCTCCCTGTCTCGTGTCTTTGAATGTGGACAGGCTTATGTAGCCCTATCACGAGCCCGTAGCCTTGCAGGCCTCCGTGTTCTGGATTTTGATCCGAAAGTAGTGAGAGCTGATCCTTCCGTGTTGCAGTTCTATAGACAGCTGAGACGTCATCAGCTTCTAACCCAGGTAAAGAAAAACCTGCGCTAGCAAAGCCTGCCTTGTGCAACCAAGATGAGAGATGTTTGTGCTGAGATGCTACTTTTTCTGCCTAAGCAAGATCATTAAAATTAAAACTTGTAGTGTCGGAAGAGTTGAAACTGCAGAGGGGGAGTGTGGTGGGGCAGCTCTCCATGGCAAAACACCTACTGTAGTCTTGGGGTTGTGTAACACTGCCTGGCCTGTGGGTGAAAGGATGAGTTTGGGGTTCTTTGATCCTCCTCTTGCTGTAAGGACTGAAGGGGAAGTGGGCACACAAAGAATCTCTTTTTTTCTTTCCCCCCCCCCTCTCTCCTGCCCCAGGATTCACTACATACCCATTCAGGTGCTGATGAGAAGGAGAACTGGAAATGCAGCTGAGAAGGCTCTTCTGGCCTGTGAGGCATCAGCAGACTGCTGAGTTGCAGTGATCTTGCTCTTGAGTATATTTGATAACACAGATGAAGTCAAAGGAACTTTTTAGGTGTTTGCTTCATTCAGCTGACTCTGGATGTGTAAAAGTATCCCTGTCTTGTGCCTCTGAAATTTGGAAGGCTTCTGTAGCCCTGTTGTGGGCCCACAGCCTTGAGTACTTCTGTGTCACAGGTGCAACTCCAGAAAACAAAATAATTGAACAAGGACATGCCTGAGGGACTTTCCTATGGTTTTGTCCTGTCTGCCTGGTTGTATTTTATTCTCTGCACATGTAGAATGAAACTTGTGTGCCTTTCTTCAAGCATACCATGGTTGAAAGATGGAAGGTGTGTGTCCTTTTTGTCTGGATGGATTGGATCTGTTCAGAAAAGCTGCTGACACAAGGGAGAGCATGTGTAATATGCTTGATTATCCTGCAAGTGTGAAGCTGCCAGGAGCTGGGCTATCACTTTAAAGCATGCTGGGGTGTTCTTGCCTTCCAGATGCTTAACACCAGGAGGCTTTGCATAACTTCATCTACAAGCAGAACTAAGTTACACATTGCCTGTTACCCTAATATATAGACTTTTTATTAGTCTCTTGCATACAGTAAGATGTGATTTTATTTTTTCTAACCTTCTGAAATGAGCTGGCACTGTTAAAAATAGGAACAAGTCCTACAGCTTATACCCATGATTATGAAACTACAAGAATCATGAAAGAGCCATTACACCATTAGCAAGAAGGGAGTGAGAGAAGATGGGTGCTGGTGGGATCCTCTCTTTTTTAAACACGTGAGACTTGCTCACCTGGGAGGGAGTTTCTGCTGGAAACAACACATCTGACTAATCAGGTGGAAGTTGCATGTGCAATGGGGAATAATGGCCAGGAACATGTGAAATGAGCTGTAACTTCACCTGTTTCAGCAAAAGCAGGGGTGAGCTGAACTAACATACTGTCTTTATGAAGTCTTACTAAAAGAGAAGTTTTGGTCTTTGTATTTTAGGGAGGCTAGGATGGGTCTAGTTTGCACTCCTGTGGGTTTTTGGACATGGAATGCTGCATTATGAGGGGTTTGTGTTGCATCAGAGGTTGAGGTGTGGGGTCTGAAATGCCCAGGCATGTTAGAGTGAGTTTTACTGCTGGTGCAGACAGTTAAGAAGTATATGCCAGGCACTTCCAGTCATACACAATACATTGATTTATTGACAGATTGCGTAAGTGTGATGAGATAATGCAGGTTCAAATAATTTAACATCTCTTAAAGTCCCTGTACCACTGTAACAACAAGATAATTTAGAGTGTAAGAGAGCTGATTATGTACAATGCAAATAAACTTTTAACTGATCTCATGAAGCAATTCACTTAACTGCAGCTTTAATGGGTTTAGGGACTGAAATCTTTCCAGGTGTACAGGTGTTTTTTTTGGTGCCAATTTGAGCTTTGAGATAAAATGCTAAACAGAACTTAAAGCTGGAAAGGGTAATAAATATTTCATGTTAGTGTTAAATGTACATGAAATGTTGTGGTTGCCTTTTTGGAGGTGTAGCAGTGGGAACAGAATAGCAGTGGCTTTTGAAGGCTTGGCAGCTGTCCTGAGGCTGAAAGGGGCCTGCCGGTGTAAATCTTGGATGTTCTTGCTCACTTCCAGCTAAAGCAGATGCAGGGGGTGGAGGCTGAGGCTGAAGACTGCTATTTGAATACTAAAAGGAGCACTCGGGACAAATCTGAGCTGTCGGGCTCTGTCATGGCTCTTCTGCAGTCAGGATTGTGCTGAGGCCTGCTTTTAACAGAATAATGCTTCCATATGTATGAGGTGAAAATCTTGCAATGCAATAAAAATCCCTCGTTCTTCGAAATGCTTCTTAAGATGTTAATTTTTCTTGCAGAGGGATATTAATTAGTCTGTAGCTAGGACCCTGTACACCAACATGGGCTTTTTTTAAAACTTTTTTTATTGCAGTGACTGTACTGGAAGAACAGAGCTGCTCATCCTCTCTTTGTTAGCAAGTAAAATGAAGAAGAATCTGAAGACCAATCAACTCTTCCATGAGGCCACCACAAGGCATCTTCAACATATCTGGTGACGCTGTTGCTTTCGCCTGCTGAGGCAAGGCGGTCTTAGCAGGTCAGATTTTTTTTCAGGGACGTGGCTTGTGGCAGAGCAAGCGCACGTGCTGTTCTCAGCTTAAGCAGCCTAGGGCTCATGCTTTTCCCCTGTCCCAGCACGGATCTTCTCCACAGGCTGCATCCTTCAGGAGAAAATCTGCTCCACCATGGTCTTTCCAGGGGCTGCAGGGGAGTCACTGCTCGTGCACCTGGAGCTGCTCCTCCCTCTCTGACCCGGGTGCTCACAGGGCTCATTTCTCCCACTTTTTTCCTCACTCCTCACAGCCATGCGGTTTCTCCCTTCTTCAGTCTGTTGCCAGAGAGGCTCCAGCAGTGTCGGTGATGGGCTCAGCTGTGCCCTGCAGTGGAGCTGCTGTGGAACTAGCTGGGACTGGTTGGAACCAGCCGTGTCGGGCACGGGGTGGCCCTGACCTCTCCTCACAGAGATTCCTGCCAGAGCCTGGGCGCAGGCACCTGCCACACCACGTATCAAACGTGTCGGCTTCCTTCTGCATTGCCCCTCTCCTCTCTCCCGTAGATGCTCGTGATGTTTGCGTGGTTGGATATCCTGGGACACAGAGGTCAGTCTGGAGGCCCTGGGGTAGGTAAAAAGGGAACTGGCCACCATTCAGGTGTGGCAGGTGAGAGGTGGCCTGCGGGGCGGCTGGAGCCCAGCTGAAGCGAGAGGCAAGCCGAGCCGGCGCAGGGCAGTGCGGCCAATGGCTGGGGATTAATCACTGCCATCCAGTAAATATGAGGAAATGAGCAGTGTCTCTCCACTTTCACCAGCTGAAGAAAAAGTATTTAAACATGGCTTCTGCCTTAACTGCAGCTATCATTAAGTGAATTAAACTATGAGTTAGATTCATAATTGGAATTTCTGTTACCACAAAGTACAGCCATTCTCTTTTCAAATACATTAAGCCGTAAGAAACTACTTTATACCAGCTAAAGCTTCATAGTACATTTATGTGTTATTGGAAGCATAATTCACGTGCAGAGTGTTACTAAAGCCTTACCAGCTTCCAGTTTAAATCCTTGTACAGTGATTTAACTCCCTTCTCATTCTTTACGCGACATTTTCAGAATAATTAAACATGAATGTGTCCTTACAGCCTGTACCCAGAAGTCCTGTGGTGAGCAGGAAAGGCAGCAACAGTCCTGTTGGTCTCAGATTCTGTAATAAGATTGCTTCCCTGAATTAGATCTTCCTATCCAGAACTGCTCTGAATAGATCAAACAAATGCTAAAGTAATGGAAATACAGTAAGTTATAAGCTATGCTATGAAGGCGAATAGTGTCACTTTTCTCACAGATATTAGAAGTTTCTCATTTTGTATTATGCTACTCTGTGACATGCAATTGTCTTCTGTTGCTAAACCTAAGTAGTTCTGTTATTAGCATGAGAAAAGACCTGAATCACTAGAGATTGCATTTAGATGTGTAAAATCTCTGTTTCGCTATTGCCTGTATGATTATTTTATACTTGTTTCTACCACAGATTATAAGGATGTTGGATGGAAATGTTTAGCTAAGGTACTGACTAGTATATAATTTATGAAATCTGGTTATACAAGCAAAATAAGATGATGACAAGTCTAAGAGTAAACTTCACCTGTAATTATTGAATACTGCACTATGTGCATTTTTAAAAAAATCTGTGATGGTGTTGATATGGGGACAGGCTGGAGGCTAGATAGGCAAAAAGACCATCTTAAATGGCACCATGTGCCTATGTGTATTCAAGCGAATTAAGACCTTAATGTTCCAAATGTAACCATAACACATGTTTCTAATAAATTGTTTATTACAATCTTTTTGAAAGAAGGTAGAGCTATGATAAAGATGCCTCTAACAAAAATTGGATTAAGATTTTATTATTTTTTTAATCATACAAAGTTTGGCATTTTAGGGCTTTTTCTCTTGATAAAAAAACATGTATTTTAAGAAAAAACAGGTAGGTGAATATGTATGAGTGACATCTTTTGTCTACTCTTCCCAAGTCACTGGGCTATATCAATTTTCTGTAGGTACATAATAATAATTTTTTACAAATTATTACTGACATGCTCAGAATTATAGGAGAATTTGTCCAGACTTGCAGCTGGTAGTTAGTCCAGGTCTTCAAAGATTCTGGATCCTGCTTTGCTTATTTGAAAGATCTATGATTTCCTATTGGCAAATATCAGCTTAGAGAGGGCATAATGTATTTTGCAGATGGTGCTAGACATTAAAGCAAAAACATAAGTAAAGCTTCTCAAGATTATTCCAGTAGCTAATAGTTCTCAAAAGTGAGGCAACACCCACTGTCTCCCACAACATCCTCACAAGGAAGCTCAGGAAGTGTGGGCTGGATGAGTGGTCACTGAGGTGGACTGAGAACTGGCTGAATGGCAGAGCTCAGAGGGTTGTCATCAGTGGCACTGTGTCTAGTTGGAGGCCTGTAGCTAGTGATGTCCCCCAGCGGTCAATACTCAGCCCAGTCTTGTTCAACTTCTTCATCAATGACCTAGATGAAGAGATAGAGTGTACCCTCAGCAAGTTTGCTGATGACACAAAACTGGGAGGATTGGCTGGTGCGTTGGAAGGCTGCGTGTTGCCATTCAGCGAGACCTGGACAGGCTGGAGAGTTGGGTGGAAAAAACCTTATGAAGTTCAGCAAAGGCAAGTGTAGGGTCCTGCACCTGGGGACACTTTTGGACAAATATTTTACACCTTTTTTTTTTTAAAAAGAAAGGATAAAAATTACATGGTGTACAAACAACTTCAGGTTAATGTTAGAGTTAGAATATTACTTCTGACAGATTGTTGTGTAGTTGTGCACGCCCTCAGATCACAAAAAAGTACAAGGTCAAAAACATAATAAAACAGTAATAAAATATTATCAAAAGAAATAATAATCAGATTTTGACACTTATAAAAATGGGATTGTTATCAAGGGTGTCTATAAAATATAAATATCAGAAGCATCAGACAAAAAGTTGTAATTGTAATGCTCATTCAATACCTCCATAAGTTATGGATCATCTTCCAGTGCTAAGTTTTGGGATCAGGACACTAATATGAAAAAGAAGTATCAGCCCCTTAACAGCCTTTGCTATGGGTTTCATGAGATGTTCTTAAAAATAAAACCCCTACCAGCAAAAAAGCAAACAACAAAAACGTTTCTGCCCATCAGTGTGACTCAAGAGCCATTTCACTGGGAAACTAGTGCTAGAGGGAATCTCAAGTGCGAAGACTGCATTTGATACTGCTTTTTTCTGCAGCAGAAGGAGGCCTCACTGAAGAAAGAATTCAGCGCTGTATTAAATTGTAACAACTCCAAGTAGGGTGCTGGGAGCAGGGTATCAAGCTGAGATGAAAGCTATGTCGAAAGCTGAAGATGAAGTGAGCACATGACATCTGAAGGACCCTGTCTAGAACTGGAAAAACTGAATCATTAGGAATATGTTCAGCTCAAGGCATGCAGGTGAAGTAGGTTTAAAAGTTATCAAGTGTGTTTCCAGAATCCACACCCCTATGGACCTTTGGGATAGTTAAGAGATCTAGTATGGTCAAAAAGTATCTGAAAGAGCAGGCAAAGCCCCAGGACCAGTACCATCTTTTAGCACCTTCAGTCTTCATGTGGAATGGCTAGAAGTGTAACAATAGAGGTACTGATGCCTAGGAAGGAGGGCTATGAGCAGCACTGAGGCAAAGCCAGCTCAGTAGAGCTTGCAGTGCTTTGATGGGCACAGAAGGGAGATAAGCTCAAATTAAAAAGAAGTTGCTGGTCGTGTCCTCTGCTGCAGAGTGAATTTGTCAGTTCACCTTGGGGCACCAGATGGACATGAAGTCTGCTCAGAAGACATTAGGAAGCATTCTGGTTAAGGCAGTGCTGAAGGCAGCCAAATGACTATAACCGCTGCTAGACGCATACCAATCCAACGAGGTAATGATAAGACACTCCCAAAAAAGATCATGGCTAGGGGTGGATACATTGCACAAGTTGTCCAGACTACAGCGTTAGACAACTTTTTGGAATAGAAGAAAACCTACTAATGTGCTTCAGTATATCTTTTTTTGACACTTGTGAATCATGCTTTGCTATCATGGACTCTTTGATGGTGGAGGGGATGTATTTCCAGGGCATTTAAGAGGTGACAAAAGATAGGTGCTACACAAGGGTGTATAGAATACATGATATGATTATGATACTTCCACAGGCTGGTTATGTATTAATAGATTTCAGCCAAAACAGGTGGAAAAAGTCACAAAAAACTTGATAAAGCTTACAAAAGTGAAGAGGTAACAATTAGTACGGAGTCTAAATGAAGGAGAGGATATTGCAAAGGAAATGAATTTAGATTCTGCAATGCTCCCTTTTCTTCAAAAGGATCTAGTTTATTTTTACAAGTATGGAGCCCTTTCATTTTATTTCCAGAGCACAGTCAATGGAACTTATTTTGTCTTTACCTCTCAGCTCATAAAGACCTCATTGTGCTCTCACTGAAATATTTGCTGGAAATCAAGGGTGAATTCTTTGCTTAGCATGCTGACAGGGGAGATAACTGCCTTATATCTGGGGTTTTTTTTTCCCTTTCTTTAGGGTTTGGCTGAGGGTTCCTTGTTTATTTTGGAATTCCAATCAGAGATATCTGCATATTTCAAAGAGAATTTAGTTGTGCTAAAACTCCAAATCAGTATTCTCTCTATAGTGAAAAGAAAGCTACATTTTTGTTTCAATATTTGTGTTGCATATTTTCCAACAACTGAGGGGAAAAAATGCTACCTAGCAAGCATTTTGATAGAAAATGCTGCTCAGGGAACAGACTTTAAAATCCAGCTCTTCTTTTGGAGGAAAGAGTTAATCTAATATTATTGAACACTCCAAAATAAACAGCTGCTGTTGTGTTCACTTTTTTAAGAGAGCAGGATTGTTTTCTCTCTAAAGCATGCAGTTTCATTAAAGAGAAGATAATTGACAATAAAAGTGGGGGCAGAGTGCACATTTTAATCTTAAATGCTACGCAAGTAACATACTGTCAGAAGAAAACTGCATTGCCTACTTTAGCTGAATAAACTTTGATAGCAGTCTAGAAGCTGCTGTTCTTTTCTATCAAATAAGATGAGATTTTCAAAAATCAATTCTACAGCTTATAAGCAGTGGGGAGGCTTAATTGCTTCCTTATGCTCCATTCTACAAATATACTAAACACTATCAGTTTGTTGCCAGTGTGCCAGATTGTTCCTTCATATGGAATGTCTGCTGTGTCTTAATTTTTGCCTTGAACAGGTATCTTTACAGAGCTAACTCATAATATCTCACAGTCTAAGTGCAATCCTAACTAATCATTTTCATACTTAGACCCTTGACTGCCTCTTGGAGCTCCTTTGCCAAGGCTTCCTTCACAGCCTCTCGGGGCATACAACGTGCACCTGGACCTGTACAGATGCCAGTGTGAGACAAGTCACGTGGAATGCCTGAAGGATGTAATAAATATTGCATGCAATGCAAATTCTGTTGACAGAGATATATCCCTGGAAGAGTGGAATTCTTATGTAGCTATTTGAAGGACTTTGTATGGAAATGAACTACTGG